CGTTGCTGGCCACTTCAGAACTCTCCAGCTCATTGTCCGAAACCATTTCTGGTGCTTTTTGCAGTCTACTTTGGGTCAATGTCCTGCTGTAAGACCCATGACATCTGATGGAGACCTAGCTTTTTGATACTGGGCCCTATATTGTGCGCCAGAATTCGGTGTTAGTCTTCAGACTTCATAATACCATACACACAGTCAAGACATCCAGTGCCTAAAGAAGCAAAGCAACACCAAAACATCAGTGAACCTCCACCGTGTTTGACTATAGGGACCGTATTCTTTTCTTTGAAGGCCTCATTTTGTTTACTGAAAACAGTAGAATGATGTGCTCAACCAAACAAAGCTCTATTTTAGTCTCATCTGTCCGCAGAACATTCTCCCAGAAGGATTGTGGCTTCCTCAGGTAAGTTTTGGTAAACTCCAGCCTGTCTGTTTTATACTCCTGTGTCAGCAGTGGGTCCCCCTGGGTCTCTTACAGTAGTGTCCCTGGTCATTCAGATGGCGACGGATAGTGCGAGCTAACGCTGTTGCACCCTGTGCCTGCAGGTCAGCTTGAATTTGAAAGCTGATTGAGGTTCTTTATCTACCATTTGAACAATCCTTTGTTGAAATCTGTCATCTATTTTTCTCTAACTGTTGATTCCATCGGTCTATTTGTTTAGGTTATGGGGTGTTGGTCAAATTGCTTAGGACACAAAAATCTTCAATCTCCAATTACACAAGACTAAATAACAACAAATACTTATTTTAGAGGCCACAACCAGGAGGCTCTGGGCATTTTTGCAAAACTCACTTAAACAATTTTTCAATTATTAAAATAGCTGCTGATCAATTAATTGGCCTCCTTTCTGCTTAACTTCTACTAAAAATCATCTAAATTTCTAAAATGCTAGTGTTGTTTCAACCTGATTGTGAACACTGCTACACTATAGAGTTAAACACACCATCCCTTATGAAAGACATTTCAGTTGCCATTGTCTTGTACTGTAATTGTCAATTGTGGCCACAGTGGCAGCTGTTCAGCAAATGTTATATAGTCTCACTTTAATGTCAGTAAACACAAGCACACGCTGTCACACACAGTGAGATGCACATACGCTGAGAGTGGGAATAAATTCAGTGTGACAGTGCAGTCAAAAGCCTCTGAGGCAGTGACAGTAACACTGGCAGGCAGGTGGGAGTGGAGCTGTCTGCTCTCCAGTCACTGTGCACAACTGACAGCTAACCTCTCAACACAGTGTTCCTCAAACGCGCACACACACACACACACACACACACACACACACACACACACCAGTTCTGACAGTAGTCTCAGTCGCAGTCACTGCTGTGAACTGCAGCACATCAAACAACACAGAGCTGAGACAAATCTACATGCCCACACACAGACACAAAGTGTATGCATCTGAATTCAACGCCTTATCTTCAATACCTCCAACATTTTTTTAGTTTCCCTGTGCGGTGTACCACCAGATTTCAGAGACAGCTAGTGCCCACCTCTTGCCCATCCATCACCACCTTCATCTCTGGGCCTCAAATAAAGACAATTCAATTCACATGAAGAACATCTCCACACTCTCCAAGCTGTTATGTCAGGACGAAACATGTTTAATTGTTGTTGGTTTCAGCTTCAATGCACAGCGCACAATTAAACTTTTGAAAGCAGACTGTAGGGTTGTCACTGAATGAAGTGACAAGACAGGGTGGGGGTTGCTTTTGTGTTTGTGTTGGTTTGTCTCTGTTTATGAATGCAGATGCCATTGTGGAGTATTTGTTTGCTTATTGGGATGAGAGTGTGTGTGTGTGTGTGTGTGTGTTGGCAGAAATAGCAACCTCATACTGTGTACACTGACTGGTGTGACTTGGGAACGTAATAGCTTATAGGTCCCCTATTTTGGTCCAGACTGAAATATCTTGACAGCTATTAGATGGATTGTCATGCAGTTCTGTACAGACATCCATGGTCTCCAGAAAAAGTAGACTTTCGTGATCCTCTGAACTTTCCTCTAGCACCACCATGAGGTTGACATGTTTGCTTTTTGTTGAAATGTATTGACAACATTTGCCATGAAATCGAGTACAGTCATTGTTACTGTCGGACAAATTGTAGAAACTCTGAACCCATGACTATTTCTCTAGCATCATCATCAGGTCCAAAATAATGTTTGTTCAATACTTTGGTTTATGATCAAACTCTACTTGCAAAAATAATGGCATTCCCATCAGCCTCAGCTGTACCTTCTGTTTAGTGCAAATTAGCACATTAGCATGTCGATAAACATCAACATGCAAGCATTATCACTGTGAGCATGCTGATAGCTTAAAGCTGCGCTGTGCAGTGTCACAGAGTCGCTACTATGGCTGTAGACTCATGGGGGGGTTGAGTTGTTCTGTTTTGCATTCATGCCCCATTACAAAAGAAAATTAAATTTGTATTTCAAAAGTGTTCCTGATTTCTACAGCTTCTTAAAGTGGGAGTTTCATTATCAAATGAACATTGAACAGAGTTTCTACTCTTCAAATGCTGGCAGCTCTCCATAAGTAGCCTGGACTGTAACTGGATCCTATACAGCTCTATAATGTCAGAAGTAATTGGCGTGAGTGTATACATGGACTAGAGTGATTCACATCACCGCAACGGTTTCTGTGGAGGTACCTGCTCTTATTAGCCACTGTTAACCACTGTGTCCACGGTGCCAAAATTAAAAACAGACAGGATGAGTCTCTCTTGTTAGGGAGACCCTGCTCTGAATTAGTATCTCCCACCTGAAAGACATTTGAGTTCTTCAAAGTAGAGGAACAACCTGGAGTCAAATGACACCAAAGATACAACAAAGTTGTGAGGTATATACTGTACAGTGCTGAGGTTACAGTAATTTACTATATAGGTAGCAATGATATGTAATAAATGATAACTTGACAATAATTTTGGGACCTGACAATTCAAGTCTTGCACTCTTTCATTCAGTAACACTTTTGGTGCCTGGAGTAAATAAAAGGACATTATTAAAACACACAAACGATGACACATTCCTAATCACAAAACTATTCTTCATCCATCTTGTGCCAAGTCAAATGAGTATTAATGCCAGTGAAAGACAAACCATCACTCAAACGAATACAGACACCGAGCACGAGGCCAAAGTTTCTCCATGACAGAGTCCTTGCTGCCCTGGTCTAATGAGCCTGGCAGGTGTGGAATCCACCCACTGGAGACTCTCAAAGAATAATCTAAATGTATCTAATATCTGAATCATACTTACTCAAGAGAAAGACAGCCCATCACACCTGCTTAATTTTTTATTCTTTTAGGACATGTCAGGAGCTCATATGTTGCCCGCTTCACAATGAACAGACACACAGACCATGAGCACACAAACTCAGTGCTGTCAACACAAAGCGCTGTTTGCTGCCCTCTTTCCCCGACCTTTGCACGAGCCTCCCCTGGAGACATACAGCCTTAAACAGTGTGAGTGCCAGACTTGACAAAACACTTTCCTTTGTATGTTCACACAAGTAATTATATGTCTTCTCCCACAGAAAAACAAAGACTTAGGTTCACTGCAGAGTTAAGGACCAGAGCTAATGGCTAAATGTAAGCTTGTCATCATGTGCTTATCCTCCCTGAGGTTATTTCAGCCTGGGTTTGTCAAGCCCTGCCAATAATGTTCTATTATCCACTTAGTCTTTTATTAAACACACCACACAGCTTCTTGTCCCCTGAGGAATTGTCATGTCTTAACCACAGATTCATATTTGAAAAGGATTTTTTTTTTAAGGTTTATGAGTTTTGTTTTGGTAATACCTCACACTTACTTGATTAAACTTCCAATTCAGTGAGACAAAATACTTTGACTGAGGGTAGGAAAAGATTCATGGCTAAAAGAAGCCATTGTTGGTTGGAAGTCGATAATAAACAGTGGCAAATTTAATCACACACGTCTCTCGTCCATCCATGGCCCCTAGCCTCCTCTTGAGAAGATTTCTGTGGGGTTATATCCACTTTTTTCCTGAGGGAAGACCACATTATACTACTACATCACACATGTTTAATATCTAATATTTAATTCATCATTATGGATCAGAAAAGACCCACTAGATTACTACACATAGCCTGTATAGTAAGAATATTAAATTCTAAGTGTAACAGAGATGATGAAGTCGAGAATGCACCACTGTCTGGGTGTTATACAGCACAAATGCAAAAGAGGAACGGTCAAGTCATGGTGCCCTGTGACGGCCACACTTTGAATACTGAAGCTTTCTGTGACCTCATCATGACTCACACCCATCACGGTGTTTGGATACTGCTCTCTCTTTTTATATCATACACCCCCCCCACACACATAAGCAGCATTGTGTGTAGTGTAAGTCTGCTAGTGCTGATAGGCAGCATGTGGTTTCTCAGCACTAATCTATCACACACATGGTGCACAGCACTCATGGACAAACCCACGATATAACCCTGGTAGGAAGTACGACTGCAGTGCAAAACCCTAGGACTTCCTGTCTCTCTGGATTATCGGGATATACAGACTTAGCTCACAGTGAAGGAGCATACACTCACACTCACACACTCCCCCAAAGCAACAATGACTCAACAGCTTAGTAATCAACCACAAAGATGCTCACTAGGCCGCACAGAGAAGTCAGCAGCTTGAAAACAAAAACAAATAAACTTTGGCAGCAGGTAGCAGAGTCTTGCATCACTGTGAGTGGAGCACCCAGCGTGATCCACACTGGCAAAGCACATCGCTGAACCACACCCAGTATGTCATGACTCATCAGTCTACTCTGTCGTCCATCAATGGCAACAGAAAAAGGGGTAAGGCAATGAGAGAGAGAGAGAGAGAGAGAGAGAGAGAGAGAGAGAGAGAGACAAAACAAGGGGAGAGCATGAAGAGAAGAAGGAGGATAAGAAGAAAGAGGATGGTAAGACAGTCACGCTGAGGCACACAGAGAGCAACAAACAGATGAGTGGTGTAGTGGGTAGGACTCACCAGCTCGACTGAACCATAGTGTTTCATGCTGAAGGCTCCACGCCGCCAAGGCAGAGCTGTAACACAAACACATGGTCAGACACCTGGCCCGTTTGCTCTCGATCACATCACACAAACATACATATACTGTGTGACATCGCTCATACACTCGAGGTACTTGCAGCATCTGGCTTTCCCAAGGTTCTTTGTCTCACTTTGTCGTCTTGCTCATGGACACTTTGTTCACGCTATTTCTTCCTTTCTCTCCCCTTCCCCTTTTCTTTCTGCCTTTCTTTCCTTCCCTTCCTGCTGTCTGTGTCTCTGTTAGTGTAGTAGCGCTGGGGTGGCGTGGCGGCTGGCTGGGAGCAGCAGTCAGCCCAGTTCTGATTGAGATGTGGCCCTGATTGAATTAAACCTGGGAGATAGATGGTGACTGGCTGGGAGTCAAATGCACACACAGTGTAGATTTGATTGCTAATATATATAATAGAAAGCAAAGCACACACACACACACACACACACACACACACACACACACACACACACACACACACACCCCAGATAAAAGTCCAAAAAACATATGCTAACAAGACAGTATAAAGTCTTAAACTGTTCTCTCAATATAAATCACAGTGGGATTTCAACATTTACGAGGCCCTAAAGGCCACACTAACTGGGACAACCTGTAGTGTGCTATCACATATAGAAAAAAACTAGTTATTTGCAACTGTACTATTTAATGTGAGTTTTTGAGGATGGATCCTGATGATCACATGACTTTTCATCTACTGTCATCAGCTGTACTATCCCATTATCCTCAACCAGACATCCCACCAGGAGTCTCCGGCATATTGATAGCAGCTCCCTGATGCCCACAAAGCATGTACAATATCGTGGAAATCGATTTTCTGAGAGTGAGCAAGAACAAGCAAAAGAGAGAAACACAGAGCATCCTGATTCATGTCTTTGTGCTAAGTGAACATATACTGTATCACCTGTCTTTGTGGGTGGCTTTTCAGTTGATTTCTCCAAGTTATACAGTACATCCATGCACTCTGACTCTGTCCCTCTATTCAGTTGAGTGTCATACACCGCCATGGCCATAGAGTAAGGTGTACTCCTGCTAAATAGCATTCAAAAATAATGATAGTTTTGCTCATTGCACTGTTTGCAATAGTGGTTGTTCTGTTGCCAGTGGTGGGTTAAATGACAAGTGAACAAGGTGACAGTAAGAAGTGTTAGGCATGCTTTGAGGACTCTCCCTAAAATGAGTTTTTGCAGGATGGGACATCTGCTCAACTGTACTTTGTGTTTAGTGTAATTTAGCAAATGTTGGCATGCTAACATGCAAAGTTAAAATGTTGAACATAGTAAACATTATACCCACTAAAAATCAGGATTAGCATTGCCATGGCATGTTAGCATGCTGACGTGAGTAGTTACTGTAGCTCAGAGCCTCACATCATGCTTGTAAGCCACATTCAAATGCAAAAAGAATAAAAAAAATAAAAACTAAATTTCAGCTTAATTCAAGCTTCCAATAGTTGTGGCCATTATTTCAGATCATGAATTCTGCAATCAGAGTCACGGCCCTTTCACACACCCCGAGAGAAACAGCCCCATTGAGGGGCACAATGCTAATACATTTAGCATGCTCATTCCCGAGCTCTTACTGTATGATGCACAGCAACGTAACAGTGGCCTCTTGGGAAGGGTCAACCACTGTTGCTATACACAGAATTTCTTTGGCTGCCTCCCTAAGAAATTAACCTATAGTACACCCAAAGATTGTTTTACATTTTGTACTTACAGTAAGCCCTACTCAGACCATATTGCATTACCCCAAACTTGATTTTATGGTTCCACCAAATATTGTAGTGACATGTAAAAGGTGCATGTCTATGTGCACATGCATGGCGAGTGTTATTTCCTATACCTAATGTTTGCATGTATCCAGTATCTGTAGGATTGTCTGAGTGGTGAAATAACCTGCTTGCTTTTTGCTTCCTCTGTCCACATCCCCCACTCCTCTTCTATCTCTCTCCCCCTCTCTCTCTCTGCAGAGGAGATGAAGGCAGAGTGGGTCTGTTAATACATAATGTACACCCAAGCTTAAAGTTGCATTTAAAGTATATCCATCTCTGTTTTTTTATTCACTCTCTTCCTGCACGCTTGCCAGCTTTACATACTGTAGACGTGGGTGGGGTCTCCAACACCACATATACTCAATCGCAGCTTTTATCTGTATGTGCTCCCATTTTTTTCTCAGCAGCCAGGTCACTATCTTTTCTACCCATCACTTTTTTCCTGAGAAATGCTCTCTGAAAAGGATTGTACATTGGAGGGAGATGATTAAGTGATACCACCCCACCAACCTTCTGCATGACAACCACTCTCCATTTTTGAATGCAGCTCTTTTCCTTCAGTAAAGGTTTCATGAGTCTGCAGCTTTTTATAATGTTTAAAGGCAGGTATTTTATGGTAGGACAGAACTGTAAGGCAATAATGGCAGGTGAATACATGGAAACAAATGTGAATAGTTTTTTTTTGTTTCTGCCTTTTTGTTTAACCTCTCAAGTGGTTCAGAGATATATATTTTTTTGTTTGTTAGTTTTATGACCTTGATGTTTTGGCTTTTTGGCTTGAGATGAATTATGCATCTGTGGTGCACCTAAA